CTGTCTTCTGAGCCCTCTGAACTGTTCTAGCCTCTGCCTATTACCCAGTTCCTAAGTTGCTTCCACATTTTTAGATATCTTTACAGCAGCACCCCACTACCTGGCAGCAATTTACTCTATTAGTCTGTTTTCACGCTGCTATGAAGAAATATATGAGTATGGGTAATATATAAAGAAAACAGGTTTAATCAACTCACTGTTCTAGATGGCTGGGGAGGCCTCAGAAACTTATATTCATGGCAGAAAGGGAAGCAAACATGTCCTTCTTTACATGATGGCAGGAAAGCCCCTTATAAAACCATCAGATCTCATGATAACTTATTTACTGTCACAAGAATAGCAACATGTGGGTAACTACCTTCATGATTCAATTACCTGTCACTGGGTGCCTCCCATGACACACAGGGATTATGGGAACTACAGTTCAAGATGAGATTTGGGTGGGGATACAGTCAAACCATTTCAGGCTTCCTTGCTTTAGCCACTAGGAATGATTCTCTCATTGCAGGCACATTTGATAATATAGTGGCCTTCAGTAATTGCTTCTGTTCTTTGTATTCATATTTTTTTTTGTTTTGAAAACTCCAAAGTCTTTTAATGCAAGGTGCCTGGTACGAATTAGTTTTGAATTTTTCACGGCTTTGTTAGATCGTGGTCACCACATATACAAAGTGGGCTTGGAGAACATAATCACCTGTTGCAATGAACCCATAATTTAAGTAGGACTTTTGATATTTTCTTTTAAATGTACCTTTCTTCCTGTTGGCAGTCTTAGAGTCTTCTGCTGTCTCATCATTGTATCTTTCCTTCTTTTGAAGAAGCTCTCCAGTGACATTTGTTTTTTACTCATTTTAGCTAGGATTAGCTTGTGGGCTTACCAAGACTGTGACTGAGACAAGTGCACAGAGTGGGAAAGAGGCATGGATGGAAGAGGGAAATAAAATAATGGGCAGGCCTTACTCAAGCTAAAATAAGTGTTGGATTCTAGGTAAAGCCTGCCACTAGATACAACTGTATAATTGAAGTACATCAACTCACTTGCCACTGTAAAGACTGCCACTAGATGAAGCTTAATTGTTGCTTGTCACTCACTGATAGTGTTTCAATATGAATGTGCAAGCAATTGATTTGTTATGGCCTCTGTGCAGTCAAACCTCTCTGCTAATGTTAACCTGTATTTGCAGCCACTTTCTGGTGCTAGCATTACAGCCTCAGCTTCACCTCAGACCACCAGACATTAGATTATCATAAGGAATGTGCAACCTGGTTCCCTCACATGCACAGTTCACAATAGGGGTCACGCTCCTATGAGAATCTAATGCTGTAGCTCATCTTACAGGAGACGGAGCTTGTGAGGTAATGCTAGCCATGATGAGTGGCTATAAAAATAGATGAAGCTTTACTTGCTGACCCACTGCTTACCTCCTGCTGTGCAACCCATTCCTAATAGGCCATGGGCTGGGGACCCTGGCCATACAGAGTTCTAGGCTGCTGGTTTGATTCTCTCAACACTCTCCATGTTTACATGGTTTCTGAGGCAAAGTTGGATGTAAATCTTACCTTCGTTTCTCTATTAGTGAGGTTTCCTCCCTCGTCTGGCTTTTTTCAGGAGTTTATCTTTGCTTTTCTGATGTTTAAATATAATATGCCTAGTTGTGTTTTTTTTCCTTCAGATTTGTCTTACTTGGTGTTTTCTGGCCTTTCTGGATCTATAATATGGTGTCTGATGTTAATTTGGGGAAATAGTTACTGTTGCTTTAAATACAGCATCTGTTCTCTGTTTCTTCTCCTCCTATTATTCCCATTACATGTATCTATACCTTTTGTAGTATTTTTCACAGTTTGTACATTGTGTTAAGTTTTTTCTTTTTCAGTATTGGAGGTTTCTATTGTCATATCCCCAAGTTCAGGCATTCTTTCCTCAGCTGGGTCTACTTTCCTAATGAGTTCCTCAAAGGCATTCTTCATTTCTGTTAGTGTTCTCAATCTTAAGCATTTCTTTTTTATTCTTTTCTACAATTTTTATCTCTGTGCTTACATTATCTCTGTGTTCTTGTATGCTGTCTACATTTTCTATCATAATCATACTAATTCTAGTTGTCAGATCTAATTGTCTAGTTGTCTGATAATTGTTATTCTTGCCATATCTGACTGTGTGTCTGATGCTTTTCAGTCTCTTCAAACTGTGTTTTTTGCCGTTTTGTGTGCCTTGTAATTTTTGTTGAAAGTCAGCGTGATGGCCTAGGTTTACTAAGTGTGGTAAACAGAGCTTTAGTAAAACAGTGGTAAAGTGTGCAGGGAAGGGGAAGTATTCTTTAGTCCAATGATTAGGTCTCAGTCTTTTGGTGAATTTATTCCTCTGGATTGTGAACTTCAGTTTTATAAGATTTTTTTTCTTTCCCTACCCTTAGGTAGGACAGGATGGCAGGAGGGTGATGGAGTTGGTATTTCCATAGGGAAGGCCAAAGAGGCTTGATTTTTATATTAACTTTCCTCTATGTGAAAGGCTGGAGTTGTCTGGAGTTGGGTTATTTCCTTTTACCCCAACTAAGTTAAGCTCTGATAAAATCCCAGCACTTCAGGCTCTGGTAAAATAGTTTCTCCTGAGGGCAGGCATATTTAAGCACAGAATACTCTGGTGTATTTTTCATGGTTCCTTTTTCCCTCCCCATGCCAGAAACAGGAGATAATTTTTCTCTGACTCAATGAGGATCTTGTAGAACTCCTGGAGGTAAAACTCACGGAAATATGGAGGCCTCCTGTATGATGGTATCCCCTTGGAATTTTTAACTCTCAGATTTGTCTACTCCAAGCCTCTAGCAATTTATTAGTTACAGACTTCCCTACCCTGGGTCTTCTGCTTATGGGTTTTTGTTTTATTAGGTTATGATCCTCTGTTTCTACCTATCCTTTTTTTCCAGTTTTGGAGGCAGCAGCTTGCCCTGTGACCTCATTTCTCTGACAAATTTTGGAAGACTTGTTGATATTTCAGTTTTTTCAGCTATTTACTTATTTATAAACCGAGTGGTGACATCTGATCTCTTTACATGCCAGGTTAGAAACTGGAAGTCTTTATTGTTTTATAGTTTTGTACCCTAGCCGTCTTTCTGAGTTCCATATCTACCTCTCTTCTGTATATTTAATTCTACCCAGAATATAATCTTCCATGTTACTTTGACTCAAAATCTTAAAACCTTGGTTATCTTTAACATTTATTTTCCATTCACATCTTAAACAATCATTTTTTAAAAATTCTCTCACTCTGCTTCCAGTTCTTCATTCTGTTCTCCATGCTCTATTTCAGTTTCTTGTTTCTTTTCAGCTAAATTAGAATAATTTCTTTAAATGATATATCCATATTCATTCTCAGTGAATCTTATTCACTGCTTCTAGCTTTGTCCTATTTGTTCTAGCACTCTCCTGTCTTTTTCCTCTTTTCTCTTCCCTTTCATCAGACTTGCTGAGATTCTAGACACTAAACTGAATGCCAGGGAATACAGAGAGTCACAAAGCCAAATTCACAATTCCTGGAATTCTACAAGAAGGGTGCAACCTAGATTTTTAAGTTTTCCTTTTATTCTGTCCTCTTGTAACCTATAAACATGACGTGATACTCTGTATATATACTTTTTACCTTTTTAAAAATGTTCTTTCTAGAATGCCTTTGTTCCTTTTTCCATTCTTGCCAGAATCTCCCTATTTTTCAAAATCTGTCTTAAAAGCTGCCACTCCAGAAAAGCCTTTTCCTCATTCTCTCAATGTCTTTATGTATCCTACCTCCTCCCAAATCTTTGTACTTAACATGGCCTTTATTTGTCTACCATATTAATTATGTTTTATATTATAATCATCCAAGGGCTTCTCTTGTGCCTCTGATTAAAATTTGAGTTTGTAAAGTATGAGTCTGCCATCTTTGAAATAGCCTGCACATGATAAATGCTATTTATGTAATAGTTAAATTTCATGCCTACCTTTTGGGAAAGTATCAGTTCTTCAAGGCCTAGTTCAAGTTTACCTCTGTAACACCCTCCTTTAGCTACTGCACATAGAACTGTCTTAACACTTAGTTTCCATTGTCTTTTTTTGATCTTTTTGTATGTGTGACACATTAAACTGGTGGGACCTTATTTTATTAACTGATTCCTCAACACCTAGCACAAAGCCTCACATATGTGCTTAGTAAATACCTTTTGAAGAAATAGAAAAATAATCTCTTTCTTTGCTTTTATCGTACTTTGTTGATATCTTTTGCAGCACTTACCACATTCTGATTTGTTTGAAGAATATTTTTATTTCCTTCCTTCCTCTTCCAGGTTTTAATCCTACATGGGGGAGAGGGAATATCTTCCCCTTGAAAAGAATTTTCTTCAAAGCCTTGGTCATAGAAGCAATAATACATTTATTCGTTCAACAGTTATTTTTTGAGTGCTTACTTTGTGCTAGACATTTTTCTATGCAATAGGGAATATAAGATAGACACCTTGAGATGGACAAGAATTCCTGATTCATGGATCTTACTTTCTAGTTAGAGAAACATTCTATTAATGCATATTGAATTTAGTGTTAGCTGGAAATGATTACCTGTGAAGAAATTTTTTTTTAGTTTTTATTTATTTACCTAGAACTTTGACTTTTATGTGATTAATATATATAATGTACTATTTACATGTTGAATTATACTTTTAAACTAAATAATAGCTGTCTTTCATGAAGTTTCTCCTATGCGCTGGGAACCTTATATACTTGATCTTCAAAAAACACTGCAAAGTAGACTTTATTGTTTCTGTTTTATAGATGAGAAAACCGGGGTTTTGAGGTGGTAAGTAATTTGCTTAAATTATGGTACATAATTAGGAAGCAAGAAAGCTGGCATTTAAATCAAGGTGTGTCTGTTCATACAGCCTATATGTACTCTTTATATTATACTTCATTTCTAATTTCTTCCCATTTGTTCAAGACAAACTTTTAAAGTCTTACCTTCTTTTTTTCTTTCCTAATAGCCACAATATGAGAACACTTCACTCCAGACACCATTTTCAGAGGAATCAGTTTCCCATTCCCAACAAGGGGAATTTGAGCAAAAGCTTACATCTACTGAGAAAGAAGTTTTACAGCTTAATGAGTTTCTCAAACAAAGACTAAGCCTATTTAGTGAAGAGAAGAAGAAACTGGAAGAAAAAGTAGGTATTTGTAATAAAGTTGAATTAGGTCAACAACATTTCCTCAACCTATTAATTTGTCTGTCATTTACCCTGTCAGGTATCATACCAGGTTATATATACATTTATGTGGAGATGATTAATTTTGTAGTAACTTTTGAGAAACCCTCTACTATCTGCAAAATTCCAAGGATTTTCTTGAAGGATAGAAATGCTCTTGTATATTTTTCTAACAAATAGTAAAATCTTAAAAATTAGTTGCCTACACCAAATAACTGTTCTCCTTTTCCTTATTGAGTCTGTGATTTCATTTTTTTGGTTATGTTGGGCATAAAGGGTTGGTAAATGAAACTGGCCTATTTTTAATAGTGATGCAACTTAAGTTATTAAACTGAAGCTCCTGATTCAGAATAAGAAGATAAAAGCCAAATACACAGACATGCATACTAACTACACACACACACACACACACACAATATTTCTGCCTTTATTAAAACTATTCTTATGTATTTCATCTTATTCCCTTTTACTATCATTCAAGATTAAGTAGGACATATGCTAGCCCTAATATATTGAAGAGATACAGATCCATGAGCTGCATAGTGGCAGGACTGGTTTTAGACTTCTCTTTTAATCTACTCAGCTTACTATTCTATTGAGCCTCCCATTCAAGTGGTCATAGAGCTGGTCACCATGATTTTTTTTTCTTGTTCATCAGTGCTTACTTTATTTTTTTAATTTTATTTCCATAGTTTTTGGGGAACAGGTGGTTACAGTTACACAAATAAGTTTTTCAATGGTTATTTCTGAGATTTTGGTGTGTACCTGACACCAAAGCAGTGTACACTCTACCCAGTGCGTAGTCTTTTATCTATCTCACTTACTCCCCCCATGTTTCCAGAATCCATTATATTATTGTTGTGCTTTTGCATCCTCATAGCTTAGCTCCCACTTAAATGTGAGAACATAGGATGTTTGGTTTTCCATTTCTGAGTTACTTCACTTAGCATAATGGTCTCCAACTCCATCCAGATTGCTGTGAATGACATTATTTTGTTCCTTTTTATGGCTGAGTAGTATTTCACGGTGTATACAGGCACACACACACATGCCACATTTTCTTAACAATTCATTGGTTAATGGGCATTTAGGCTGGTTCCATATTTTTACCATTGCAAACTGAGATGCTATAAATATGCATATGTAAGTGCTTTTTTATATAATGACTTCTATTCCTCTGGACAGATACCTAGTAGTGAGATTGCTGAATCAAATGGTAGTTCTACTTGTAGTTGTTTAAGGAGTCTCCACACTGTTTTCTATAGTTGAACTAGTTTACATTCCCACCAGCAGTGTAAAAACATTCCTATTTTATGCCAACATCTATTTTTTTTTAATTTTTAAATTGTGGCTATTCTTTCAGGAATAAGATGGTATCTCATTGTGTTTTTAATTTGAATATCTCTGATTATTAGTGATATCGAACATTTTTTTCATGGTTTTTGGTCATTTGTATATCTTTGAGAATTGTGTATTTATGTCCTTAGCCCACTTTTCGATGGGATTTCTTTTCTTTGTGTTTATTTGTATGAGTTCCTTGTAGATTCTGGATATTAGTCCTTTGTAAGATGCATAGTTTGTGAATATTTCCTCCCACTTTATGGACTGTTTACTCTGATGATTATTTCTTTTGCTGTGCAGAAGCCTTTTAGTTTCATTAGACCTCATCTATTTATTTTTATTTTTGTTACATTTGCTTTTGGGTTCTTCGTTATGAACTCTTTGCCTAAGCTAGTGTCTGGAAGAGTTTTTTCAATGTTGTTATATCTTCTGGAATTTTTGTGGTTTATGGTGTTAGATATATATCTTTGATCCATCTTGAGTTGATTTTTGTATAAAGTGAGAGATGAGGACCCAACTTCATTCTTCTTGAAGGGTGGTGGCTTGCCAAGTATCCCAGCACCATTTATTAATAGGGTATCTTTTTCCCACATGATATTTTTGTTTGCTTCTTCAAAGATCAGTTGGGTACAAGTATTTAGGTTTATTTCTGGGCTCTCTATTCTGTTCCATTGATCTAATATGCCTATTTTTGTATCAGTACCATGCTGTTTTGGTAACTATAGCCATCTAGTATAGTTTGAAGTCAGACAGTGTGATGCCTACAGATTTATTCTTTTGCTTAGTATTGTTTTGGCTATGCAGACTCTTTTGGTTCCATATGAATTTTAGGATTGTTTTTTCTAGTTCTGTGAAGAATGATGATGGTACTTTGATGGGAAATGCATAGAATCTATGGATTACTTTTGACAATATGGTCATTTTCACAATATAGATTCCACCCATCCATGAACAATGGGCATGACATGTGTTTCCATTTATGTCATTGATGATTTCTTTCAGTAGTGTTTTGTAGTTTTTCTTGTAGAAATCTTGCACCTCCTTGGTTAGGTACGTTTCCAAATGTTTTATTTTTTTACAGCTGTTGTAAAAGGGATTGAGTATTTGATTGGATTTTTAGCTTGGTCGCTGTTGGTGAATAGCAGAGCCTCTGATTTGTGTACGTTAATTTTGTATCTCGAAACTTTACGGAATTCATTTATCAGATCTAGGAGCTTTTTGGATGAGTCCTAGGGTTTTCTTGGTATATGATCATATCATTGGCAAACAGCGACAGTTTGACTTACTCTTTACCAGTTTGAATGCCCGTTTTTCTTTCTCTTGGTCCGATTGTTCTGGCTAGGACTTCCAGTACTATGTTGAATAGCAGTGGTGAAAGTAGGCATCTTTTTCTTTTTCCGTTTCTCAGGAGCAGTGCTTTCAACTTTTCCCCATTCAGTATGATGTTGGCTGTGGGTTTGTCATAGATGCTTTTATTACCTTAACATATGTTCCTTTCATGCTGATTTTGCTGAGGGTTTTGATCATTAAAATGATGCTGGATTTTGTAAAATACATTTTCTGCATTTATTTAGATGATCATATGAATTTTGTTTTTAATTCTATTTATGTGGTATATCACATTTATTGACTTGGGTATATTAAACCATCCCTACATCCCTGGTAAGAAGCCCACTTGCTCAGGGTGTATTATCTTTATTTTCTTTTTCTTTTTTTTTTTTTTTTGAGACGGAGTTTCACTCTTGTTACCCAGGCTGGAGTGCAATGGCACGATCTCGGCTCACTGCAGCCTCCACCTCCTGTGTTCAGGCAATTCTCCTGCCTCAGCCTCCTTAGTAGCTGGGATTACAGGCACATGCCACCATGCCCAGCTAATTTTTTGTATTTTTAGTAGAGACGGGGTTTCACCATGTTGATCAGGATGGTCTCAATCTCTTAACCCCGTGATCCACCCGCCTCGGCCTCCCAAAGTGCTGGGATTGCAGGCATGAGCCACCGCGCCCGGCCCCAGGGTGTATTATCTTTTCGATATGCTGTTAGATTTGGTTAGCTAGTATTTTGTTGAGGAGTTTTGCATCTATGCTCATCAGGGACAATGATCCATAGTTTTCTTTTTTTGTTATGTCGTTTTCTGGTTTTGGTACCAAGATGATACTGGCTTCACAGAATAATTTAGAGAGGATTCCCTCTATCGTTTGGAATGGATTCAGTAAGATTGGTACCAAGTCTTCCTTGAATGTCTGATAGAATTAAGCTGTGAATCCCTCTGATCCTGGATTGTTTGTGTTGACAAATTTTTCATTACTCTTTCAATCTCACTACTTGTTATTGGTCTTTTCAGAGTTTCTGTTTCTCCCCGGTTTAATCTAGGAGGGTTGTATGTTTCCATAAGTTTATCTAATCTCTAGATTTTCTCGTTTGTATGTGCAAAGGTATTCATAATAGCCTTGAATGATCTTTTGTATTTCTGTGGTATCAGTGGTAATATCTCCCGTTTTGTTTCTAATTTTGCTTATTTGAATCTTATCTCTTCTTTTCTTGGTTAATCAATTTTGGTTTCATTAATTGTCTATTAATTTTGTTTATCTTTTCAGAGAACCAGCTATTTTGTTCATATTTTTTATTTTTTCGTTTCAGTTGCCTTTAGTTCTGCTCTAATCTTTTTTCTTTTCTACTGTTGGGGTTGGGTTTGGTTCTTGTTTCTCTAGTTACTGAAGGTGTAACTTTAAATTGTCTATTTGTGCTAAGCATTCAATGTTACAGACTTTCCTCTTAGCATCATTTTTGCTGTATCCTAGAGGTTTTGATAGGTTGTGTCACTTTTATCATTCAGTTTAAAGAATTTTTACGTTTCCATCTTGATTTCATTGTTGACCCAATGATCATTCAGGAGCAGGTGATTTAACTTTTCATGTATTTGCATGGTTTTGAGGGTTTCTTTTGGAGCTGATTTCTAGTTTTATTCTGCTGTGGTCTGATAGAGTACTTGATATAATTTCTGTTTTCTTGAGACTTGTTTTGTGGCCTATCACATGGTCTGTTTAGGAGAACATTTTATGCACTGATTAATAGAATCTATATTCTGCACATAGAATGTATATTCTATGGTTTTTAGGTAGAATGTTCTGTAAATATCTGTTAAATCCATGCCTTCTAGGGTAAGGTCCATTATTTCTTTGTTAACATTCTGTCTCTATGACCTGTTTAGTGCTGTCAGCGGAGTTCTGAAATCCCCCACTATTATTGTGTTGCTATCTGTGTCATTTCCTAGGTCTAGTAGCAATTTTATAAATTTTGGAGCTCCAGTGTTAGGTGCATATATATTTAAGACTGTGATATTTTCCTGGTACACTAGTCCTTTTATCATTGTATAATGTCCCTCTGTCTTTTTTTAACTGTTGTTGCTATAAAGTCCTTTTTTTCTCATGTAAGAATAGCTACTCCTTTTCACTTTTGGTGCCCATTTGCATGGAAGATCTTTTTCCATCCCTTTACCTTAAGTTTATGTGAGTCCTTATATGTTAAGTGAGTCTTTTGAAGACAGCAGATACTTGGTTGGTGAATTCTTACCCATCTGCCATTCTTATCTTTTAATTGGAGAATTTAGGCCATTTACATTC